TAACAATACTAGATTACATCACTTTTGGGCAGGTGACAATGATAATTCTTCATAGTAAACGTTATTTTTTAAAAACATTAATGCATTTGGGAATTATATTTTACCTGGAAAATGAGTCTAAGAAATTCTGTGCATCGATAAAAAAAGATACCAACATCATGAACATGATCGATGAAAAAACGAAATCTGGGAAAGTCGGAACAACGGAAGTACTAGGTTTACCGCTTTACTCATCTGTGTTTGAATTTTTGGTCAAAATGTTTTAAATACCCAGGTATTTAGCCCGTCTTAATCTTTTTTTTATGTTAACTACCTAATTCTGCCCCTTTTGTAAATTTAGAAGGTCACTCCAGACAACATGGACAATGCTGGTTTCGCTTTCATTTCCTATAGCCTAGATCTCGTGAAAAGAGAAAGTATTGCGCAATCGTATATAAGGTTCGAAAATTAAGCTGGGAAGTGCGCTGATGATAGGCCTAAATCAAAATGGAAAAACAAATACTTTGAACAAAGAAAGAGGTCGGTCATTTGGACCGACATCAATAGCATTTTTACCGGTCACAGGCATTTTTTGCCGGTCTTGCCGGCATGACCGGCAATTTTCCACAGCTCTGCTGTTAATGGCCTGATTTTGTGAATATGTGAGCTTATGCTTATTTGAATGGGTATATATACAAATTGCATGTGGGTCTTTAGTTTATGAAGAGCAAAAGATCAAGTTTGCGTAAGATTGTTCATCTTTGATTGAAAAACCAATAGAGAACTATTATTTCTTATGCAATACTCTCAAGATGTTTTTTACAAGCATGCTTATTTTGTGGAGAAACGTCATGGAATTATTTTTACAGATTGTCATGATGCTCTGTTTTAGGTTGTTATGGTGCTATGTTTTAGGTTGTCATGGTGCTTTTAGAAAATGGAGCCAATCCAGAAATTCCAGACTCAGAGGACAGGTAAAATCTGTTGGAAAATAATTTTTGTTTTAGACAGACTCTTACCACATGCAATTAAAGACTAAATTAATGATTTAGTAGACTAGATATAAAACTGCATTCAAAATAACAAGCAAAACAAACTTTACTGAGCTTTCGTGTCTTTTCCACTCCAAATAATGATATAAAAGAAAACAAGGGCAACGCAAAGCTGAGCATATTCTGACAAAAGAGAGCATGGATCCCAATATTTGCATAAATTAATGGATGTTACGCACATGCTCATTTACTCACACACACATAAGCAGACAAGCCCATTACTATATCCCCTTAAACTTTGTTGTGAAGGGAAAAAAATTACCCATTTTTTTTATACAGTTCATTTTTTTTCTCATATTGATAACTCATAATTGATAGTTCATAATAACAATTGTTTATAGTAAAAACAAACTTTTATTGTAGTTCCAGGTGAATAAATATTGATAAATACATATTTGTGTATTAGAGATGGACAATGCAGTGGATTTAACAGAATCCAAGAGTAATTTTTTTTTTCAAAAAAGAAAAAATACGACATTTAAAAATTTCTGTTAAATATAGAACACCAAAGGACTTTGCCTCGGCTTCAGACAAAGTCTGGCCTCACTTTGCGGCGTTGGGATTAGAAAGAACACCGAGATGGGAGCTCATTGAGAAAAGTGTCATTAAAAAGGTATATAGAAAAAAATTATACTGTGAAATAAAATATTTTCTTTGGGTCAAATTTTGATGGTTATACATCAGTACTTGTAGGAAAAAACATGGGTTCTTGGGAATTTACTTTTGTAGATGAAGAATTGTTGAGAAATATCTGTTAATTAATTTTAATTTTAATTTTAAAGGTTCCAGGAGGTCCAGCTGTACATGACAGTCAGCCCAGAAGAAGTATTAAAATGGCAAGTGCTTAGGGATTTCGTATTCAGAAATTAATTTTTTTTACTGATGTAATTTTTTAAATTTTCATTTTGATATATTTAAGCCATCTTTAAAATAATGTTTGCTTGCCCTCTCCCTACTCAGGGTAAAATTATTGGGTCGGTAGGTAGGTGGGAAAATCTTTTTTCCAGACAGTTTTAAAATTTTTGTTGACGCGGTAAGAGGAAAAAGAAAAAAAAATATAATGACCTGGAATGTTAAAGAATTTTATAAAGATGGTCTTATTGAATTTTACATACATCTATTTCTGATTATAAGGTATAAAAAAGCTTTATTGGAGGATCTTACACAATTATTTAAAAAAATTATAAATAATAATGCTACAAATTTTGATAAAAATTGAAAGTTTGACCCAAAATGTGATTTTCTAGCAAAATAGTCTAATCATGACCCCAAGAAAAATTTTTAAAAGTAATTATTTATTCTTATGAACCTATGTTTCATTTGACCTTTGCACACCTTTATCAAATTTATTTATTCCTATGAACATGTATTTTAATTGACATTTGCACACTGTTATAAGTTTTTTATTTATTCCTATGACCCTTTGTTTCCTTTGACCAGGCTTCAGACAGTCGCCCCGAATCAGCGTATGCATACAACAGTGACCCGTTCATCCATGCGGCGGTGACGGGCGATGTCCTGGCGGACCAGGAAGAGGCTACCTCTAACTCAAAGGACCAACCACAGTTCTCCATGTGGAGGTGATAATCATAGATATCTTATAGTGAACTTTGACCTAATGATATGATCAGCTGCAGTTCTCTATACTGAGGTGATATAAAATAGTTATCTTATTGTGAACTTTGACCTTTTGATATGTTCAGCTCAAGTTCTCTATATTGAGGTGATAAAATACAATGTAGTTATCTTATCATGAATTTTGACCTTATGATATGACCAACCCAAGTTATCTTATTGTGAAATTTGACCTTATGTTTTATTTTGTTTAAGGTAAAGTAAATGTTTTTTTTCTCTTTTATTTTGAAATTTGCAACTTATAACCTTCCTGTCCTATTTGATCATTACATTATTTTCTTGAACGATTAATATGTTCATACATCCCTGGCAATATTTGTAAGTATCTTACGGTTAGATTTTTTTTCCTTTTTTGTAGTTTAAAGTGTAATTAGAGTAGACTCATTTTAATTTATTTCATGCACAAACACTGTACATGCAACATGACACATGGTTTAGGTATAAATTTTTTGAGGCAGAAATGTATGAATATATATGTATTGTAATGATTAACACTATCTTTTTATGTACATGTATATCTTTTATTTATATTATTAGTTTTAATTGGTGCAATTCTTAGAAGTAACAGAATTAAGTGTTAAAAATTAAAATTTGTGCTCTGTCGTCCGAATGAAAAAAATGGCCTGACTCCAAACTTTCTTTCGTTTTTTTTTTTTTTAAACATTTTTACACATGTTGATATTTTCTGAAAAAAGGTTTTCCCTCCTACCTACCAACCCAATAATTTTGGGTTTGAGTTGGGAGAGGGCAAGCAAACATTATTTTAAAAATGGCCTCAAATATATTTTTTTATCAACAAACATATATCTGTTAAGTAATGCACCTTTTTGTTAATATGTATTTTATTAATCATAAAAAAAATTGTCACAGTACCTTGTTGATAACATCACCACATTACAATACTGATTAAAAGTTTAATTACAATATTGGTGAAAAAGTTGATTACAATACATGTATGGATAAAATGCCAAATCATAGTATTACATGTATCAACAATAGTAATTTAGAATATTGTTAATGTTTGTCAAATCAAAGTATTGTTAAATATCATACAGTAATTTAAAATATTGCTAAAAATTTCATCTAACAATATTGACAGCAATGTCACATTATAATAAAGATTAAAATGTTAATTACAATATAAAATTGGTTAAAAAGTTAATCACAATATTTTTAACAATTCCAAATCACAGTATTCAAAATATTCTTAACAATTTTACTTAAAACAATTTTGACAGCAATACCAAAATACAATATTGATAACAAAGTTACATTACAATGTTGATAAAAATCCCAATTTATGAAAGTTTTTCCATGTACTCTACAATATTGTATCATTTCCACATTACAATATTGGTAATGATTTTTAAAACATCGATCCTTAGCTCTTACAGTTAGAAAAAGATGCTCAACAGAAGAAGAGAATAGAGAAATTCATGTATCACTTTAAACTATCTCCCAGAAATGTGATATTGAAATTTTACCTGATTTTGTAGTATTTCTCTTAAAATTTTAATGTACTTATCAGCTAAACTTTCATGTATGTGTCTTTAATGCATAGTTTTTATAGACTTCATCTCAGCAGTATAGTGTTCATGTAAAAAATTGGCGAAGATGTAGTTTTATGGAAGTCAGAAATTATTTATTAACCCTAATCACTTTCAAGGGGCATTATCCTGTTCTTACATGTATACAGTAGAGTGAAGGGGGGGGGGGGGGGGGGTGAAGAGTGGGCTTCCACTGGTAAATTTGTACAGTGTTAAACAACCAAGTGGGTTTTCCCCCCAGTATATACATGTACATGTATGAGCCACCATTAAATTTGCTGCAATATAATCATCAGTTTGTATAAGTCAGATGGAAGTCGTCAGTCATGTTGAAAATAGTACTTAGGTCAACATTATATATAAATTGTATATTTTTTGATTCAGTATTAATGCATTTAGTAAATGATTATCTCTAATATGCTGAAAGTTTAGCTCACAAATACGACGTTACACTTAATATCTTATGTTTTAAAGTGTTCACTTGAAATATTAATGTGTGTAAAGTGTTTTGAAACTAATGAGATTTTCTATACACTGACTGCATGGTGTTTTGTGTTTATATGTATGGTTCCCCTTAATTTATTGTTAGTCCCTGAAAATGACTTGTGAATTACATTGTTTGTTTGACTCTATTTGTTAACGGAATTAAATGTTTGTTAATAAAAATCTAAACAATCCAGTCTTTTTTTTTTTTTAAATTGAATATTAATATTAATGCTGCATTAGGATATTTCTGTGTTCAATCAGAGTTTTTTCGAAGTAAACTTTGGACGGATTGTGAAATGAAATTAAAACAGAATTATTGTTCACTGCAGATTTTTGATATCTATAAACTATGATCATGATGATTGTTGAAAATATTGATTCTTAGAGTTACTGCCCCTTCCCTGGTTCGCTTAGTTTCATTTACACCATCTCGTAGATGATATCCTTCGATTTTGTTTCAAGATTTACTATTAAAGGCGCTCAGGGACTGCTCAAATAAAAGTAAATTGAAATTTGTAAAACATCGTACAGGACTATTTGATCACTCAACATTGATACATCTTCAATGAATGAAGCAAACAATTTCCTGAAACGAAAGAGTAAGAAGTGATTTTTTCAAAGGGAGGATAATTTTTCTTGTTTTTGCGCTGAATATCTTTAAGGAATCACTGTCTAGTTAGTATAGTATGTCAGGGCATCAACGAAAGTGGTAAACGTGGTATAATTTGCATAAAGGGCGAAGCTAATCGCGTAGGAACTACAAAACAAAAAAATATACTCAACAGTACAACGGATAAAAATATGAAATTGACTCTTGCAATTTTTTTTTTTTTTTTTTTTTTTGGTGTAAAGTTTACCAAGAAAAACTTAATAGCTATTTTGTGTAGATAGTTTACATATGATATATTTTATTTATCTATTTATTCATTAATTCATTTTTTAATTATTATCTTTACCCGTTATCTTCTGAATGAATAATACAACGTTGGAAATATTGTCAAATTTTATTGAAAACTATCTCATAGATTTAAATTGTATCTTTTTAACAATAAAAGACATATAATGTTACCTATGTTCTCCTGATTTTAAAATTTTATTTTATGCAAACCCCACTTGTCATTCGGGCTATTTCTGCTATTTTGTGGTTGATACACTTTTTAAGCAAGCGCGGCTTCTTGAAATGCCATATTATCGCGCATAAAATCTAACTGGTTGAATTTTTAACAAATATTTCTATAAAATTAATTGAAATTAAAACTCCTTATCATGAACACGCGGAAGAAGCAGATCGATTTATACTGAACTTGTCGCATATGGCCAAAGTTCCTGTTAAATACTCTGACAGATGGCGGGATACTAAACGCTTAGCTAACCTCGAGAGTTTTATCTGAAGCAAAGTGGGCAGACTTTAAAGTGTTTTTATTGGTTGAAATGAGCAAACACCGAGAGAGCATTTTATTAAAGAGTTTGAAAGGTACAGTGAAGAATGAATTGATTCAAATATGAGGTGTATAAATCAAGCACGGATTGTGGAATGATCATTTAAAATCTCATAAATTTTATATTAAAGGGGCGGTGTTAATTGTTAATTACAGAACGGGGGGGGGGGCTCAGAGGAGGGGAAAAGATTATAAACTGGTAAATTTCCTGACAATATTTATCTGATCGATAAAGTTTGTAAATCATTTGAATGATGCGTATTTCAGGTTACTTGTATACCTGCTTGATAGTTGATCCATCAGGCCCTAAATACGCAGGGAGAGGCTTGGATTTGCGAATTTGGGAAGATTTTGGGGGTTTTCTGCTCGTCCTCCCCCTCCCCCTCCCACACGCACACATTTTCTACGGTGCCGTACATAATTTCTTTGCTTGATACAAAATATTTGCCCATTTGTCTTGAATATGTAAACATTTAAAAATGTCATAATGGGCGATGAATGTCATAAAATTTTAAAAATTGCATACCCATAGAATTAAGTTAACTGTAGATAACTTAACTGGCACATTTTAATGAGGAACTGATGCATTGTTTTACGATTAAAAAGTTACATGTATATGTGAGAAATACTCCCGATATACAAAATTTAAAGTGTTACGTACATACAGAGAATTTAGATATCATTACACTTTACTATATATTGTACATATTTTTGACTTGCTGGCAACCGTTTTAAATGAAACAAAAATAATATTTAAAAAGAAAAGAATATTAATCAATTAATAATATTCATTTATACCTCAATATTACTGATGGAAGCATTCTATTCGAGCAAAACAGCAAACTAGCAAATGCACGTAATTTGTATGTTGTAAGTAAATTGTGTACATGTACACAGTCATGGATTACGATTCTTTGTAAAAGTGACGTCACAGACACAAAACGTCATAATACATTATAAAGTGAAGTGTGGTGACGTCACAATACCGATTGTTCACATGGAATTTAGCTAAAACATCATAAGCATGAGTTCTGAAAATGTTTTCGAATGGAAGGTCGGTCTTATAAACGTACAAGAGAAGTATCTCACCGCGGATGGATATGGAAATAAGGTCAATGCGAGCGGGACGGCCCTCCGCCAGAAACAAATGTGGACGATTGAGTTCCATGAGGATGAAACTGTTTACATTCGAAGTTACTCCAGAAATTACATTTCTGTCGATCGCCTTGGTAATGTAACATGTGATGCAAAAGAGCGTGGAGAAGAACAACAGTTCTCTTTGACGTACGCCACTGATGGGTCCGCGCGCTGGGCATTCCAAAATAAGAAACTGAAACAATTTTTAGCTGGCATGGATGAAAAAATAGACTGTCTCGCAAAGAAGGCGACTGAAGAGGATCTGTCTTTGTGGACTGTCCCTTTTGCGATGCATCCGCAAGTTACACTCTTTGCCATGTTTAGTAAGAAATTTGCACTAGCCGACTCTAAGAATGTGCAGATTGGGGGTGATAAAGCTTGGGGTGCGCATGCTCTATTTACGATGGAATTTTACTGTGGTAAATATCAAATCAAAACTCCAGATAACCGATACTTATGTAAAGATGGATCCTTGGTCCAAACACACGGAAAAGACACGGTATTTGGAATAGAGATTCATCAAATCGATGATAGAAAATTCCAAGGTCTAGCATTTAAAGACAACGAGGGAAAATTTCTGTCAACAAGTGGTCCGACGGGAATTCTCAAGAGTTTCCAGAAGAACCTGAAACGGGAGGGTCTATTTCGGCTGCAACAAAGTCACCCCCAAGTGAGCATCGTGGGACCTGGAGGCAAAATGGCGACCGTAGGAATGGAGGTCATGATGAAAAAATTAATTCAAGACCCGACAAACTCAGAAATTTTTCAGGTATGTCTAGATCTTAATTTATTAATTCAATAAAAAACATGAGGTACTACAGTTTATAATATCTTGTTTAAAATATGCAAGTATATACTCTCTTAAAAGTTTGTGCAAAATATACCTTCTACAAAAATTTGAATTTCAATTAAAATTTGTATATGACAATTAATTGTCATATACAAATTTTAATTGAAAAATTCAAATTTTTGTAAAAAAAAGGGAAAAAAATTTTTGAGGATAGTAAGTGAACCACACCAATTTAATTTCTTACTCGTCGTATTTTAACAAACCTTTACAATTTGTAGAGGACATTACCAAAAAAGGGATAAAAAAATAGAATGAATTTAAAATAAATATGTGAGGATAGTAAGTAAACCACACCAATTTAATTTCTTACTCGTCGTATTTTAACAAACCTTTACAAATAGTACATCGCTGTATGTGTTTAAATTCCCTGCACCCAGGAAATCCTGTGCTTATTTTTCATCTCATTCTACCCGGTACATGTGTATCCGTTTTTTAAATGTGCAAACTCTACAGATTAGGAAAAAAGATGGAAAACATAATTGCCCACTCAATACATGCACATTTTTCACGTTCTGCCGAAAAATTTTGCCTACAAAAAATATTTAATCGCTCGTCTGTTCGTACTTTTCTGATGAACAAGAAATTAAATTGGCGTGGCCTTGAATGCGTTTGCCTGACAAGTGCAAGATTGATAATTATTTCAGAGGTCATTACATTTGATGTCAATGACCTATTTCTTATACAGATCTTTTTTTTATCCTGAAAATAAAATTTTAATCTGATTTAAATACACGTTTAAGAAAAGGAACAATATCAGGCAAATGAAATTGATTTATTTTATTCCTACAATGACCAAAAAGTGATAGAATTGTATTGATTTTTATAATTGGTGGCAAGTAGTATAGGAATTTACATCAACATTCTTTAAATTATTTAAAAATTAATTTTTATTTATATTTCCATCATTTCAACTTTTAAAAAGTCTAAAATATTTACCAATAGATTCATGCGTCTTAACAAAAGCCCATTCAGCTTATTTTCATGCATATCTTAAAAAAATATCTTTTGCTTTAAAACGCCTTACCTTCGCGTACGTTATAACCACAGGCCTTTACTTAGATCGCTTTAATTTAACTTACAAAAATTTGAGGTGTTAAAAAAGATAAAGGTATGAAAGTCCTCACACTTGGTACCAATTTCGCCAATAAAATATTTCAAAATCAACGGCTCTAAAATTTACTCTCTATTTATAGCTAATTAACATTACTACCGAAATTCCAACATTTTTTTATTCTACGAAAATGAGCTCAATGGGCTTTCATATTTCCCAACGTTTTTGGTACATGCGTTAAAGAACAAATATCATACTAGACAATTGTATTGTCATATTTACATCCAATGAATATTTTTCTTCTCAAGAAGGCTATTGCAATTAAGCAGTGTTCAAACAACATTAAGCAAGCCATGTGCATATATTTCTTGAAGAATGGCTGTTCCATCAGTTACGCATGCAACATTTGACATTTTCATTTAATGTACAATATTTACCGTATTTAATTTTACTTTGAATATATTTTTTTCATACAGAGGTAAATATAAGCAATAAAATGTCTTTCTTTGTTTGTTAATATGGGAATTAATGTCGCAGCTATTGCAGGAACAAAAATACATACGCGGGTTATGTATTTTTTCTGCATTAGCTGCGACATTTATTTCCGAACTAACAAAGAAAGTATTTTATTACTTAAATAAAATTTATTTAAATAAATAAAATGTGGTCATTATATGATAGATGTTCAGCATTTTATAGAGATTGTGACAAACTCCTTAATTCACCAGAAAGATTCATTTTGCGTTTTGTAGATTCGCTTTGTATTGCAAACGTCAGATTGTGGTTTATCAAATCTTCGAAATTCTGATGGTTCGACTTAAGTAATGATTTGGAATAAGTTAAATCGTTGTGAATAAATCTTTAATCCTTTACATCAGCGCATTTATGATTTAATACAGGGTTTTCTCTGCAAGCCCGTGAATAAGTAAACGGGTTGGGGTGGTGGTAACTAATGACAATTCAAATATGCATCTGAAGACATTCATTTAAATAAATTATTCTGTATTCAACAGCTTGAATATGAAAGCAAAAAGAAGAAATGGTCAATCGAAACCTACGATGGAACATTCTGGGGAGTTGGACCAAACGGCCAATTGAACACGAATTCTAAATCCGTGTCAGAGGATACGCTGTTTGAGATTATATGGTTATCCAATGGGAAAGTCAGCATTAAAGGACCAAACGGTAAACGTCTCGTTAGTAAAGGGACCGGAAATCTTGTCGCCAATCTTCCGGAAGACGTAGAAGACGAGGGTTTCCAGATCCGGATACAGAATCGTCCCGTTGTTGTTCTCAGGTGTGATTTTGGATTTATTGGGATTAAAACGGCCACCGGAAGTAATAAGGATGAGTACATTTGCACCAAGCCGACACCAAGCGTCATCACTCTGAATCAAATGGAGGATGGAAGATATAGTCTGCAAAGTGAGAATGGAAAATACTGGTGTATAAATCTGCAAACTGGGGGCCATCCAACAATCAAAGCTAACAGTGCCGAGCCGGTGCCTTTTGTTATAGAATTTCGGGATACCAACGCTATAACAATATTAGCTCCTAATGAACGATATATGGTTTGTGACAAAGTCGGCCATTTTTACGCGTCGGCAACGGAAATATGCCCCAAATGTATGCTGTATTTCTGATAAATAGCAACACATATTGTAATCGGCCATGGTCATGGATTTTATTTCTGAGTTTTATGTATATTTTTTCTGCATTTAAATTCTCTTGCTTTTAAATAAATTTGTCATTATCGCTATTGAATTTCATTTTAATCAACATGTATTCTGTGATTCTCTCTCCTTTATCATGTGGCTAAAACAAGATTAATTTTATCAAAACTTCTATAATTATTTTCTCGAAACAGGGACATATTAGAATATTTTCATGAATTGAGTGGTTCTTTAAAACTCATAAAAAAATCAGCCGTAAATACTCAGTTTGTTAAAAAATTCTTAATTTTCCAAGGCTACATGTACTCCCATTTATTGTATTTTTTAACTTTCAAACATGCATCCAGGATTTTTTTTCTAGTGAAGGGATTCAACTTCAACTGTAACAAATTTGAAACTCTGATTAAAAAAAAAACCTAAAGAAACTTGCCCAAACATGGAATATGTGTGTTGGGGGTGGAATTTATTTTCCTCGGAAAGATAAAATCTCGACTCTATATTATATAACTGTTCTTTCATTTCCAAGATTTACAATAAGGTATGAAGGTATGAAGTTTTCATTTATGTTTGTATATGACAATTATGCGATATTAAAATTAATGTACACCGTTGATAGAAGTTAGAAAAAGGATATTCCACTTTTTTTGGCAGCGATAAATGAGGTAACTCCTTGAAATGAAAATATATACCAGGTATTTTCCCTTCAGTAATGGAATTTGCTTTTATTCATCTTTTTTTTATTTTTTCCCTTCAAAATACATAAAAAATTTAACACATTTTATCCATGTTGATCCTTTTCAAACGGAACATTGATCCTTTCTATAAAATCGAGAAAAAATTTCAGAGCCAATGTTAACAGCGATAATAGGCAATAAGGCATGATGTTTCAGTTTTGAATCTACTTTCAAACAAAAAAATCAAACGACATTGATCCCCCCTTTCTTAACGATTGCGATGTCACGATAGAAACTTTTACGTCACAATGCATGCACCATGAAGTTTCGATCTCACGAAAAAAAAGGTCAAGTGACGTTCAATTCTTAACGATTGTGACGTCACAATAGAAACTTTGCGTCACAATACATGCATCATGAAGTCATGACAGAACAAAGAAATGACTTCAAGTAATACATTTGAATGGGTTATTGGCATCGTAAATATAGAAGAAAAATATCTTACAGCAGAAAATTACGGAAATAAGATCAGTGTTGGTGGCGCGGCACTCCGTCAGAAACAGAGGTGGACAGTGGAATTTCAGGACGACGAATCCATCTACATCCGTAGCTATGCAAGAAATTATATCTCAGTAGATCGCTTAGGTAAAGTAACCTGTGAAACCAAAACTCGCGGGGAAGATGAAAAATTCATTTTAGAATACGCAACCGATGGATCTGCCCGCTGGGCATTTAGAAGTTGGAAATATAAATATTTTCTTTCGGGTACTGGGGATCAAATTAATTGTCTTGCCAAGAAAGCCTCGGAGGCGGACCTTTCCCTGTGGTACACTCCATTTGCCATGCATCCACAAGTCACGTTGTTTTCCATGCTGGGTAAGAAATACGCGATAGCGGACTCTGATCAAGTTCGATTTATCGGGGTCAAAGCCTGGGGTCCTAAGGCCCTGTTTACGATGGAGTTTAGTTGTGGTAAATATCGATTCAAGACTGCCAGTAATCGATATGTGTGTAAAGATGGATCGCTTGTCGATACATGCGATGACGATACACTATTCGGTATTGAAATTCATCTCAGTGAGGATAAAACGTTGAAAGGGTTAGCCTTCAAAGACAACGACGACAGGTACCTGTCGGTGACCGGCCCCTCGGGAATTCTGAAGGCTAACTACAAAGTCCTGAGGAAGGAGGAATTCTTCAGGCTTCAGGAGAGTCACCCCCAGGTCATTATCGTGGGCTCCGGGGGGAAAACAGCGTCCGTGGGGATGGAGGTCATGCTGAAGAAAATTACTCAAGCCCCAACTAAATCGGAAATCTTTCAGGTATGATTTATTAAATATAAATGGGGGGGGGGGGGGTGCAAAATCTTTATTTTCGCGAAAACATAATAACAAAACTCCGTTGATCATGTTGATGCCCATTATTTGAATTTTACAAATTATTTACTTGAGTAAAAATCGCAATTTATTGTAAAACGAACAGTTTATTTCGTGAAAGAAGACAAAATCAAATTGATTGCAAAATTATAATAGAAAAAAGAACAAATCAAACAAAAATAGATATAATGTTTTTAATTTTTTAGATTAAAAGATTTGTTATAAAAGAACAAACAATACTGACTACATCACAGACATTTGTTTCGGAAATAACTTTTTAACCCATAGTACATAACTAGTATACTATGGGTTAAAAATTTATCTCCGAAACAAGTGCCTGTGGACTACATGTACATGTATAAATTATAGAGAGAGAAAAAAAAAGTGTATACGCTATTTGGTTTATCGTTAATAAGAGATAATATAAACATGTACATCTTTCATTATTATGCTTTAAATTCTTCCATCTTTACATTAAATAGTTAGAATACGAAATTGGATCACGGAAATGGTACATTGAAACATACGATGGCACTTTCTGGGGAGTTGCGAAAGATGGCCGCATAGAAGCAAGTACGAATGCTGTATCAGATAAGAATATGTTCGAGATCATTTGGCTATCTAATGGAAGGGCAAGCATAAAAGGATCCAATGGGAAACGACTAGTCAGCAAAGGAACCGGAAATCTTGCCGCAAGTCTCCCGGAAGACGCCGAAGACTACGGGTTCCAGATCCGGGTTTTAAATCGGCCTGTGATCGTTTTCCGGTCCGAGTTTGGTTTTATCGGTATCAAAACTGTCCCCGGAAGTAACAAGGATGAGTACATATGCACCAAAGCGTACCCCAGCGTCATTGTCTTAGATCAAATGAATGATGGAAGGTATAGTTTAAAAAGTGAGAATGGAAAGTATTGGTGCCTCAATTTACAAGTCGGGGGACATCCTACTGTTAAGGCGGACAGCTCCGATCCTGTTCCGTTCGTTTTGGAGTTTCGGGATACCTCTTTAATGACAATTTTGGCCCCCAATGGCCGCTATATGATGTGTGACAAAGTTGGTCATTTCCATGCTATTGCCACGGAACCAGGCCCACAATGCATGCTGTATTATTAAGTTTCTTAAATAATGGGTTTATTTCTACGAATTACATGTAAATATCTACTAATAAAAACGTCTTTTTTTATATTGTTGGCTTTGTTTTGTTTTTCTGTTTAAGTTTGATAAATTAATTTTACGTAGGATTTTTGAATAGCTGGATAAGTATTTAGTGCTTTTGGCAGACTCTTGACTTTGTGTGGCGTCGAATTTCTGAATCACAAGAAATTAATTTTTTTTTTAATTTAATGACATAGCTTTTTTTATTTACTGGAATCGATAATCATATATCAGTAAAGTATACGATACATTATAAATTTTTACAATGTAATCATTTACATCTGAATCGACTGTATGCCGAGTACATATACAATAGTACAGGTGTTGCAAAGGTCTCCAAAATTGAGGTAAATACATAAGTCAATTTTGGAATTTTCTTTCATTTCTTAAAATGTAGCTAAGTTAAGTGAAAGTGATAATTATTTATCAAATAATAATGGCACGTTTGACATCGGGTCTAACACCGAAATTGCATTTTCAGATAAAAATGACACGTTTACTTGAGATAAGTACATTTTATGTTTAACAATTATCTGTGAAAAGCCGTGATTATGAAGATAAAAATAAGACTACCTATAAATGCAAACAGTAGTCCAGAATATAATACATTATGTTATGGGAAAGAATTATAAATACATCATCGCTTCTTTAAACTCTGAAACATTAATGTTATTTCATATGTTATAAAGTTTAAAAATTATTTGAATTTAGCGCATGAAACCGGGTACTTGCAATATTTAAGTTAAGTACACGTATAGTGATGGACGTGCAAGCTTCTTGTATAAAACTTTTAGATTTTCTTCTTTGATTTACATGTGTAAAGACTTTTCTGTTCCCATGCAAACAGACCGAGTCTGTGATTTAGTTATAGAACGTAGGATTAAGTGCTTTACAAACAAGAGAACATTTTCAGCATGCGTACGGAATCCCTGGGCAATTAAAGCCTGAATTCATTTGTATAAAATCAATTGGATTGAATCTTGAAATTCACTAATTCGGTTTCTTTTGTTCAAGATTAAAAATTGTACATTCCATATAAATAAACAATTTTGCATTCAATGTACAGGTCTGCAGTTTCAAACTTCTAAATTTTTTAAATTGACACTGTCATTTGGGAGATATTGTCGGTTATAAACCTTAATAAAGGTGTGATATAATTCAGTAGTTGATCAATTCGAAAATCTCTAATTCAAAAGGTTCAATGACATTTTTTTCATATTTCTTTATCAATACTCCCCCCCCCCCCCCACCCCACCCCACCGCCTCCCCTTTGAAAAACAACCTGTTGAAATACGTACGAAAAAAATAATATGTACAGTGTGTTAGATACAAAGAGTAACTTTTTTCGCTGTAAATGTTTCTTATCGTTTATTCTCGCTAATTCTGATTTTAAGGATTAAAATTTGTTAATTCAAGGCTAAATATGATTCTTCCCATGGACTCGGGTTCTAATCTAAAAGCTTGCCACTCCATTGTACAGAAGTGTTGAGATAAAAAATGAAATAAATGATTCCTGAAGTATTAATTAGTGTCGTAAAACGTGGACAAAAATGATATATGAATCTTCGGGTTCGGAAAAGGTCTCGTTGCCATGCACGCAAAGCGTTTCCCGGGTTACCATACACTCTGGCGCGTGCCATTTCTAAGGCCCTTTTTAAACTGACACGAAAACTTGAGATAAGTGTTTACTTTTCTATCCCAAGATAATACCGCTTAATAGCGTTCTAGCGATATAAAGTGTTCACAATCAAATAATGACAATTTTGATCTTTTAAACTTAAGGGGAGGGGCGACTGTCAAGATAATAGATACACAGAAAATAAAGGAAAAAAAATGGAGTTTTAGAATTGTTTTGTTTAAAAATTCTTTACAAGGAAAAGATGTTTAAATTTCTAATTAAGTGATGATTGTTGGGTTTTTTAATTCTACTTCTTTAATATTTTAAATTTCATTTTTGACACGTTCTTTTCGGAGATATAATCGGCTATAAAGCTTGATTAAGATGTGATATAATTCGGTAGTTGTTTACTAACCCATTGTAGGATATTGATCAAATTGCATATCGTTCAGATAAGAGAAAAGTGGCGGTAGTGATGGGCATGAATAAAATTTGCAGTTATAATTCTAGAATTTCAGTGACAGATGCGGAACCCCGAGTTCCGGACGGGTATTTCTTTAGATAAATTCGTATTTACATTTGCATCATAATTAACATTAGGAAAGGGTCCTCTTTTTTCTGGTTCATTGACATATGGAGCTAATAGAAATTAGGAGATATTTCTAGTAGAAAGAGAGAAAGAAAGAAAGACCAAAGGCAAAGCAACGTGGGATAGAATCATTTTGACAGAACTATGTGAAAGTTCTTCGATGCATAAGAAAAGGTTTGTATTGTCTTTTTCATTTATTTTCTTTAGAGTTTAATAAATTGAATTAAATTGATTTTTTTTCTCTGTACATATACTTTAAAATTTCAAAATCTTTAAGGATGATTTTTACTCTTTTTTTTTTTTTACTTTGATGACTAATATCATTTAAAATAGAAACTGTAATCATTTATTTTTACAGTGTATTGAAATTTATAGAGTATGAAAGATAATACGATCATATGTGGCCAAAAATACAATTATAGAATAGTAAATTTGGTAAATAATAAACTAAAGATGAAAATAAGAGCATTGTATATCTAGAAGCTCTTAAAAAAAAGTAAAAAAAAAAACAACTATTTTTACTTAATGAAAAGTGCTTGAGTTGCATTGTAAACTATCCTCGTTTCCCTCGCACATAGTTTTTCTATATCTTGTTTTTCCATCGCATTAAGAAGATTATGAAAAAAATTCTTTTAAACTACAAAAGGTTCAGTGGTATTTGATTCCTTCTGCATGATTATTGTTACACAAAAGAAAAAAAAAAAACTTCATGTATAAATCCATTTATTATCTGCACATGCATATCAACGGAAAATCGCAACAACTCGTGATACAAGCCAGTTAAAAATGATTTTCTTTGGTCAAGTAACAGTAATCTCTTTAATTCTATCGACCAACCACCCCAACAGAATTCTAATGTAATATAGGGGTGCCCATTGTTCGTTCGAATTAATGATCGAACGACACGCGCAAAGAAGATACGATTCCTTTTTTATTACAGTTTACGTACAAGTTAACCAATACCATAGAATTTGCAAAAAACTAAAATCTACTTTAGTAATTGCATCAAAATAATATATAATTAATGGAATGTGTTTGAATAAAAATATTTTTATTCAAGAGTCATGCAGATTTTATAAACAATTTTCTTATTTTCACGTGAAGACCTGATCGTTCCTACAGGCTAAAAACACACGCGTTTTGTTCTTATACACCTTCCATTTTTTGCAATGACCCCCCCCCCCTCCCTTCCTTCCAATAATCATCGATACAATGAAGAAAATAATTTGTGTTTAAACTAACGGTATTTCATTGAACATAAACAAATGTATAATGAACTTTCATGTCAAAAAGTTCTATATCAAAGATTCCGCTCTGGAGGTAATGAGTAAAAAAATATGTATTAAAAGAAAAATGGAAGACGCCTCAAGCATCTGATGGCGCAGAGAGGATTGAGTAAAGAAAAATGGGACATACTTAACTGATATTGATATTGAGGAAAAGAAATTTAAAAAATCGACGTTAGACATTCATATATAAGATATATTAAATAATATGGTCTCTAAAACAGTATGTCTGTACAATTCCTTAATCATTCAAACAGGTTAAAATATTACGCCAATATTAGAACATAAAAACTTGACTTGAGCAATAATGCACGTTTGAGACTGGTAAAATATCTGTAAAGGAAAATTTTTATTTCGGCATTCTAAAACTCCATTCACTCTTTTATCCTACTGGGGGGGGGGGGGTATCCCTCCGTCAATCCCACCAATGCTTTATTCTGGACCTGCTATGGATTTGCCTCACGGGAATTTAAAGTCAATCAAGCTACATTATGCACAGAATCCCATATCTTTTTTTCTCTATGAATGTCAGTGTTGAGGATTCTACAAGATTCGGAAATTACGAGCAATTCATTTTAAAAAAATGAAATGAAATACTATATCTATTGAATACCAGTTTTAATAACTTTACTCTCTCTCTCTCTCTCTCTCTCTCTCTCTCTCTCTCTCTCTCTCTCTCTCTCTCTCTCGTCGCCTGCGTGGCGCAGTGATTAGGGCGTCTGCTCTAGAGTTGCGAAGTAAGGAGTCGATCCTTACGTCGCGGGTTCGAAGCTTCGGATAAGACCGTAAAAACCGAGGTCCGGTGCTGACAGAAAAAAATTCCTCCCTCCTCAATGGCCCTGAGTGCCGAGTATAGGACAAAATTTATAGCCCTCCAACGGCAAGTGGTGGCAACTCCATATGAGTGAAAAATTCTCGAGAGGGACAATAAACAACATACAATCTCTCTCTCTCTCTCTCTGCTGAAAACATATATATTACTTAAAATTCAGTTTTTCTATACTAAACTTACAAAAAGTCAGAGAAATGTCCATGATCATTAATTAAGTTGGATTTTTTAAATATCATTTTCAAATTTTTATTTAAAATAAAAAATTCACAAACAACACCCTTGACTTCATTACCCACCGAGTCATTTGTATCTATCAATTATCGAATTTTCTTCTGCCTCAAAACAGAATCCTGTATTATCTGTTATTGGAATAAAGCTTATTGAAAATTTCCTCATTTTTGATTGCAGAGCCGGAAGAAAGATAGCCTTTTTGTGTTAATTAAATCCAAAATCCAGGTTCATTATGATCTTTGATCATTGTGTAGATTTGACAGTTCAAGAAAATAAATAAAAATCCAATTTCTTCATAATTCATTTTGAAAGAAGGTATTTCTGTTTGAAAAGCAAAAGACAGCACCTTAAATCGCCCAAGATCACGCTAAGATTCGCGATGATATTATAAAATAATAAGGTCTCAGGCGGCTTCGCCTGATTAAATATGCATTAAGTGTGTAATCAAAACTCTGGTCCCTCCTGATTCACCTGCGATTGAGAAAGGGAAAGTTGACAGAAATTGTCTCCGTTGTTCTTTTAACATCTATATGTCAATGGCATGTTTTATTAAATATTCATGCTGTTTTTGGGTCTAAGACAGGTCACGCAATATCATTGTCAAATTAAAGATATATTTTTATTTGATTTTTTTTTTTTTTGCTCTGGTGGCCTATCTTTATTTAATTCAATTAATTATTTATTATCGTCATGGGTTTGAATATTGAGGGTTCTAGGTGCAAGTTAGAAACACTTCAAAAAATATTGCAGGATTCTGTATACCATGAAATATGAATAAACATTTAAACAAAAAAAAACAATAGCTATTACACGTATTTTGTTCTTACAAAGCTAAAGTAACAATTTCATGCAGATTAATAAACCTGTCCTTATTTTCTAAACAATTTATTCATATATGGACAAATTTTGCGTGAGTTATTAACTGTCGCAAGAGCAACCAACTACGTGTTGAAAATGAAAAAAAACAAAAAAACAAAAACAAACTTGTGCGTATTTTTAAATGATTAATTATATAGCCAAACAAAATGAATTCTTCATTACGAACAAAGTGAGAGACTTAAACAAACAAATCTCTGCATTGATTCCAATTTTATTAGATTATATGGCATTATTTCTTAATAAAACAGTATGGGACATTTGTATCGACTGAAACCGAATTCGACGGAATAGGCCTTCGAATGTTATTGATACAGTCAAATTAAAATGATACCATAAGGGAAGTCTATTTCACGCCGAACAAATTTAAGAATACTCAAAATTCAATAAAACCTACAATTAACGTCTTCCAATATAGACCTCGCGTCCAGTCGAGGGTACTTATAACTGTGAAAAACTGGCGCGTTCGACTGACACCGGCACATTAGAGAAGGACAATGGTCAGCGAGAATGGGTCATCAACTACTTCATTAAGCGAATTTAGCAGAAGCAGGTGTCCCTAGGATCTGCTGGGGGACAAGATCACTGGCGGAGGGGATACGTTACAAATCCTTTGATCTGGTCATCAGTAGAACTTGAATCCATCGGCGTTGCGCTCAAGTTCAATCGAGTTTAGCTCATTCATTATACATGTTATAGGAGTGTAAATCGCAATGCACCGCCCCGCATAAATGTCGTTGCAATCGAATGCACCGAATTTGATTTCACTGGGGGATTCGCTAACTTTAACCTCCAAAAATAGACCAAAGTCTTTTGTGTGCGGAGAGGTTGACCAGAATCACTTTAATGTGACAGAACCACATGAAAAGACGATAAATTTCATTAATTTTGTTAATGGATATTGTTCCACGGGGTTCAAGCGTGAAGGGATGAATATCGGGCCGTGTTCCTCCATTTTAGAAATCAGGCACTATTTAAAGAATAACTTCTGGACAAGAACTTGCCTTTTATCTAAGAATATCCTTAATTCAGAAAATTTGGTTCACAGAACATTAAACAGAAGATATTTATAAACGGTCTCGCTACTTTAAAACCACCCTGTTCAAATATGGAAGGGAATTCCTTAAATGCTGATTGACAAGTTACAATCTGAAATTGCATTTGTCTTAAAGAATTAGATATTCTTGAAGATTCTGCACTATGTCAAAATTTTCCTTAAATTGAGTGACCCACGTCTGTCTGAATGGGAGTGTAAATAATTGAAATTCGTGAAAGGAAGTATCGCGTTCAAGTCGCGTGGCAGCCACGCGCCGATTTGGTGTCTCAGGAGGAAAATAACCGTAATATGCAATAAAAACTTGCGCGTGGAAATGTAAAATTAGGGGGCGTAAATATCACTTTGATATTTGAAGTTTATAGTTATTTGAATTATCTGCATGATATGTATTTTTAATAAAATATTTTTAAAGCTTATATCTTTCGTCTTAGTTTCGTCTTTATTATGCAAAGCAGGAAGAATTCAGAAAACTACGATGTATCAGAAAAAAATACTTTTTTATCATGAATTTTTTTCACTCATTCGTTTAAAAGAAATATAAAAATAAGTGAAAAACTTAGGAAAAATAATACTTTAATTTCTTTCAAAATAAATTTGACTAAAATATACAAAGAACATTTTTCAATTATGTTTTTCCCCTTAATTCAAATTTTTTATATTTGTTACAGAATAGAATTCTAATTTCTTTTAATTTAACAAACAGTTGATAAATAAATGAAAATTCGATTTTAAATTACCTTTTAACATTATACGCTTACTTTTTATTTTCGCTGAAATTTTATTCTAATTCCAGACCTCGTCCTTTCTACAGTACCTTACAAGTACACGTATTGAGAATTTAATGCTACAATGAAAAAATGCAAATTATAAATCATCATTTCAGTGATTTCACCGTACCGCACAGATATTTACAAAATAACAAGAGGGTTAAATGGTAGTTTATTAAATTATAATGCTGTATCTTTAGGATTTTATTTGTCAGAAATAGGAAGGTCTTTGCTATCTTTTAACATCTAGAACTATAATTAACATTCAAGAAAGAGAAATTGGATACTAATGCCTCAACTTTCAAAGCGAGTAATGTGTGTCTTATCGACAAAAAATCTTTTGAGATCCCCTTTTCTTTTTTTAATTATATGCGAGGGATTGCAAATCAAAAACGGTAAAAACAATAACGAAAGACAATTTGTTTTGATTTCTTGTATTGTTATAAATTCGATAAAGGAATGAGTGTATGCTCCATTGTTTGTGCGCATGCTCAAACATCACAGTTGGTGTTAAGAGCACAGATGGCCCAGACTTTTTCACAAAAGACGACGGGGGTAAATTTTTTCCTGATATGCCCCAGTGATTCAAACGTTATCAGGACTAATCAATGTAATTTGATTATAAAGGATGATTTTTATGATGGAAGACAAAAAATCAAGTCGGACCTGCTGTTCCGTTATTTTTTCCCTAGAACTATTATCAGACCGCCAAATGATGTCAAAACTCTTAATTGACAATTAAAACTTGTCTTATTCATTATGCGTGAGAAATAACGGGTATAAATTGTCAGACGACACATCTTCCGAACGAGAAATATTCCAACACCCTGGATGAAATATTCCTCCCCCAAATGGGAATTATTTATATTTCTATGTGCTACCCCAATTGACTTTTATTCCCATTCATTATTTACAGGCTAGGGGCCTTGAGATTGCCTGGCGTGTAAGTCGTGGTATAATTTTGTTGTTCATTCAGCTTTTATTTTTCATTTACATGGACTTTGCTTCTTCCTATTTAGCAAGGAGTTAAATCACATGTGAGTATAGGATAATCAAATTTAATTTGCTAAATACATGTACTTAAGATGCTATTTCATTTTTCAGTTTTCTCTTTTTTTCCCAATTTCATTTTATATTGATTGACTAAAAATTTAGGTTGCTTGCCTACTGAATGATTTTTTATTCCAATTTCCTTCCGAATGTCCACTGGCATACATGTGTATAAAATTTGAATAATCAAAAATACAAGGCTTTACATATAAGAAATTTCATAACAATTTCCAAGTCAACAGACGTCACATTTCCAGACGCTTTCATTTTACAACTTTTTTTTTTTAAATACGAAAACATATAATTCATTAAAAGTTAACGCATAATCTGAAAATTTTTCGAACCATTATAATATATTGAGATAAATGAATATGTATACAATAAAACATAATAGAACAATGAAATAAATAAAAATGCTTAAAAATTTCTTTCAGACTAAAATAAAAAAAAAATCGCAAAATATTAGTGGAAAAGGTTTGACATATCCGTATTGATTCGGGCGATATTAAATAATGATAAATTTATACATTGATAAAATAGAGTTAGATAAAAAAAAAAGAGAAATATTTGCAAGCAAAGTATCCTGAATTTGTGTGAAAGCATTTTTAATATCTGATTTTTTAATATATATAAATTTTGTTGTGAATATTGAATAATTCGATCAGCCATAACGACTTTTAAATTTGTAGTGAATATATGTTTATTAAATCCAAATTGGGACCGTGGGTAGGGGTAGGATGGGGGATGGGGTTAAGCCCCGATTTTTTTTAGAGTCTTATATAAATCTGAAAGAAACATTGGAATGATTTACAACGATGAAACTTAATTTTCTCAAGCGTTAGAAGATATTTTATTAAAGATTCTGAAATTTTGGGTGGTCTACGCGGATTATGCATTTTATCTGCAACATCATTTCCCGTATAAATTAAAACAACCAAAGAAAGCATCTTATTGTTTAAATTTATACTCTTCCGATTGTTCTAATCAATATATATCATTTTGGCATTTGATTGTTGAAATTAAACAATTTAACAATTGTAGATTGGAGTATGCCTATAAAGCTGGAACCATCAATCATGGATACAGATCCGGAATTCAGCCTAACCGGAAGTGATTTTGAAGACGCAGATATAGAAGATTTTTCAGATATCAATGAAAGTGATTTTGATCAGTGCAGCATTAAATCGTCAAACACTTCTCAACACCCCGAAACAGCCGACGAAAAGGACCAAAAGTCAAAAAAAGATGATATTAAGGTTCCGAAAAAACGGGGACCAAAAAAGAAACGGATGACGAAGGCTAGAGTTGCGAAACTGCGCTTGCGTCGAGTGAAGGCTAATGCCAGAGAACGTAACCGCATGCATGGACTTAATGATGCACTAGACGTTTTAAGACAACACGTGCCTTGTTATTCTAAAAACCAAAAACTTTCTAAAATAGAGACCCTACGTCTCGCCAGAAATTACATAGGTGCCTTAGCAGATATTCTTAAAGCTGGAATGAAACCCGATTCCATTACGTTCGCCAAGGCCTTGTCAAAGGGGTTGTCTCAAAACACAATGAATCTCGTTGCTGGAGGGCTTCAGTTGAACCCGAGAACTCTTCTTCCGGAGTCTTCGTATGCTAAGCCCTTTCAGTTTTATTACAGCAACACGTACCATTTATCTCATAACAGTAACCAATATAATCAAACATTTAACCTTCAGAGCTTTAACCAGTTATCTCCTAACAACGTCATAAGTGCCTCAGTTTCACCCAATCAGATGCTTTCTTACTCTTCGCATATGCATTCTCCTGTTCGAGGAGATCCGTCTTGCCAAGTGTCCCCTTCATCCATTGGTTACGCCACATCAAATGAAGCAAGTCCAATTCAAGTGCCTAAATCTACAGTGCCTTCTCTTCAGGTCGAGGCTGTAACGTCGACAAACTTCATGAGATGTGACAGCACGGTTGAGCCTTACATGTGCGGCCTCAATGTTAGAAACCCAAACGATAACGGAATCTTTTCTCAAGGTCACGTGACGTCATCTCAGGATTGTAATCCATATATTATACTTGATGAAATTTCGGAATACCGACCAGATTCCACAGTTAACCCGGAAATGAACATCATGAGCGCCGCCTCCAATCTCTTTGATGTCACTGGATAGGGAGTACATTTCAATCTAATTCTGGGTTTATTTTATAAAAAAAATTATGATCTTAGAAAAATATACAATTTTTAGGGCTTGCTTTTTTTAAAAAATATATTTGACTTTTGTATTTTAAATATTATATGTATATTATGACAATTAAGGTCTACATATACAGTTTATTATAATCTTTATACATTGAATTGAAAATTTTAATATTGTAATAATGTATTCATTTTTAAGCAATGTGTCTGTGAGTCCGTAATAATACAAAGGTCACATATTTTTAAAATGAGAAATTTTGATTTGAATTTATGTTGATGTTAAATCTTCAACATATTAAGCAAATATTTTGGCACCATAAAGTGTTTAGTTCAAAAGCAGCGAAAAAAGGTCCGTAGTAGTAATTTCATTGGGGAGGGGCACAACCAACATTTTCAGTTGGGGGAAAGGGAGGAGGGCTAGAAAGGAAGAATTCCTTGGCAGTTAAAAAAGCAGTAATTATTGAGGGACGCGACACAATCATAACACAACTAACTGTAGCCCCCCCCCCCCCCCCCCCCCCCACCCCACCCCATCCCGGTCCGTACGGTCGGGGGAAAAACCCCTACATAATATATATATATCTATTTTAAGCACTGATAACTCGAAGTGAAAATGAATAGCTTGTGACACATTGTGTTTTTGCTACAGAATATGACGTCAGCCAGAAAGCCCAGTTCTTGCCATTATTTGTTTGCACTGATTATTTCATTAGGGTAGATATGTTGAATAGTCAGGAAATGGTAGTTATATACATGTAATATTAAAAATAAACTATTGATGTTGTGTTCAGTCATCAATGTTCACATTTTCACGAGGTGACTGGCCCCTTCACTTAGCCTAAGCATCTAGTCAAAATATCAGAGATTCTGTTTACATTAATATTGTATATGATTTTTTTTAATTTGCTAGTCCTCTGATATATTTGATATATTATATACCATAAGATAATTTTTATATTTTATTGTACTCCATGACTAGTATATATTGGTATAAATTGTTGAAATTTTTAAATAGTGCCTCAAAATAATATTCCATTTTAGTCATTATTCTAGTCAATCTACAATCCGTCTACAAATTTTGTGATTTTATATCTTATTTGAATAATGATTAAATTAATTCCATGCACAAGTCTTTATTTGTATTTGTTGCTTGATTGTTTTTTACCTATTTTTGTTCACTTATGAGTTCTTGATCAAAAGATTAACTTTTGAAATCTTTTCACGGTTTGAAAAACTATTAATAATAGTACATGTATTTTAATATACTTTAATACCATTAGCTGCAGAACTGTAGCTCTCCGAAAAAAAAATATTGACATGCAGATGTCAACTAATAATACAGTACTTGTTAGAAGATGAGGATTTTTTTTTAATCTAGTTTTTTTGCGGTTGAAGTTAGAATTTGGAAGAAATAATCCAGAACTACGCGCAACTTTTTGTGCGCAATAAATATACTTTTTCAATGGCTGGCACTGTGGCTCTCCGGTCTGTCATATTTTCACGGAGAGCTACAGTTCTGCAGCTATAATACCATGTACTAGAGAAAATTTATTCTGCCTTTGGTTAATATAAAACTCTAAATATCAAGTAAAGGAACCAAATAATATATTATCAAACGATTTCAATCCGCTTTGAATTCACAGACTACTATTTAAGTACATAACATGTAACTGTCACCGTTACACATATATACACCATCGTCTTTCATTTCCATTTTATTAAACAATTTTGTAAATTCTTAATCATACCAGCAAAGAGTTAATCATTCAAAAATTGTAAAACCTAATATTCAATATAAGTATAACATTGATAACAAACGATTCAATTGATTTTCAAATTTATTTACCTGAAAGAGGTGAAATCTATTACTAACAAAACAATAAAGTATGAAAAGCAAATGTAAGAACACAAGATAGTACTTACAGAAATATTGGATTTCGCAATTCCTGCTTTAGAAAGATTGCAGCACCGTTAATTTGCGTATATTGGTATATATGTATTTGACGCTTATTGAAAAAAATAAAACTATATTCACATGTAATTATACATCTTTTCTACCTGCTAGTTCGAATGTTAAAAAGATACCTCGTGAAGAAGTTATTAGATTTTACAATATTTTTCTTGTTTCTGAAACGATTATAAACACTTTAAAGTAATACGTTAGTAAAATAGCACTACATAGTAACATTTACAATATAAATTCTGATAATATTAACATGCATTAGTTGACTCCAAAGAGTTAAGAAATGCATTAATTTTTTTATAAAACAAGGGTGGAAATCTGTAGAACAAATTTTTTTTTCTAAATCTGCGTATTTTTTCCCCTCATTTGCAATAACAAATGTACATTCATATTAAAAACAATCTGATCTTGAATGTATAAAACAAATATATATTCAACATGTAGGTTAATTAATCTAAACAATTCTACAGACATTTTTTTTCTAAAAAAATATAATATATGTATATCAAAAATATGGATTTCAAAGTGTCAAAACACCACTGCTCCAGGAAAGTTTTTTTTTCACAGAAAAAAGATTGCTTTAAGTCATAGTAATGGTGGCAATTCCGGGTTATAGCTTCGTATTTCCGGTTCCGTTACTTTTTCGGTGCATGATGTTAGCATCACATTCATCAGACACAAAAAATGTTGGTTTAACTGAGTCATCCTTGTCGTTTATGTCTAGAACGCTTCCATTGGTTGAAGAATTGGAGTAGAACGACTTGTATGGGACTTTACTGACTCCATTCTGAAAGGTAAAACCCGCGAAAATTTGAACTGTAATATTATTCAAACACAAAAACTACGTGATAAATGGCAAGAAAACTAACATTTAATTATATTTTTTACATGCATGGAAATTTCTTAAACGTTTGTTATTAATTTATCTACTAAACAAGTATTTCAATGACAGTAAAGGCATTATTTCGATAAACAAAGAAACAAATGTATGTGTCAGATACACAAATTGTTTTATTAATGAATAATGACAACTTTTTGAATAAAGAAAAAATGATAATGAATGATAAAATAACAATCAAATATTCAAATTTTCATTAACATACCATGTCTGTGTCTTTTTTCTTGTTAGCCCCAGGAAGGAGATCATCCAGCCATCGCAGCTCTCTCTGAGCGAAGAAACACTCCATCAACTTCCGGACCACGCCGGTAGCAAGCACCTAGTGGAAGATAGGGGAAAGGTGTTATACTTATTGTTCTTATTGATTAGTAAAAAAAAAATATATCAGAAAGAAAATACTCGTGCAACAGATTAGCAAATAAAATGTTTGGGTAATGTAAATTCGCGGATGAAGGTGACCCACGAAATCCACGAACATTGGTCCCTAGGAACATTGATGATTTCACAGTATGTCGATAGTCAATGTATACTCACCATCATGGGAAATCCAATGGATATGACTTTAATGGTTTTCACCACCCAAAGAATAGCCAAGCAGAGAACCTGAATAATTGTGAAAATATGGATCCGCCACAATGGAACATGGCGGACGTATGGAAGATCGGGCTGGTATTTAACGGGTTGAATGAAGAGGAAGAGACGATCCACGAGCTACAGAAAATAATCAGGAAAAAATTATTATTATGAATACAATATTAAAAAAACTGCGTATCACAACAATTTATTTACCCCCCCCCCCCAAAAAAAAAAAAAACTACTGTAAAAGAGGGTTGGTGGGTCGTACCTGCATTCCTCTTAGTGCAGAAAATCCCATGTAAAAGAAAACTCCATACAAAACTGGCATAGGAATATACTGAAAAGGGAAAAGATTTATATTTGAAATATACTTGATAATGACTATTTATTTAAAAATCGTACATTAGTATTTATCTACAGGAATATGTAAATAAAAGCACGAATGTTAAATTATTTTCGAAATCAAACGCAAAACAAAATTTGACATACATGACCGATTTGTAAAAAAAAATAATTATTTGTGAGTTGTCTACCTTGAGTACGGAGGTGATTAAGACGGCACATCCACTGAGAACACCGATACCAAGAGCGGTAACTCTCTGTTCTCTGTACCAAAAAAAGCATTTTTAAAATTAAAAATCATAATGAAATATTTTTTAAAGTTAAATTCAGATTGAAAAAATAATTCAACTATAAACACTTAACGGCTTATTGAATTGTCAGAACTAGTGTAAGAAATTCATATAGTTTTTAAGAAGCAATAACATTTTTATATGTACAATTAAGTATTAAATATAAGAAAGTGGTACGGTACCTGACACCCAAGAAAGATGGTTTATCGCCAGGTGCGGTGCATTCGGACTCCTTTTTCAAACTGTTGATATGTGCAAGCGCAGAGACTGTGGCAGCCACGTACCAAGGAAGACCGAGGAAAGAGTGGATTCCAACACAGATTGCCACCACAAACATGTCCAGGTGGTATCCCACGCCTTTCTATCCAAGTCAAAATAGTGCATATTAAACAATATAATATACATATTACCAGAATGTATATTCAAAGTACTTTTTTGCTTATTCGTTCTATTTTTTTACTGAAAATATTACGATTTATGTTGAAGCAATGATATACAAAATTTGATCCAGGTGATTACGAAGTCATCTGATAGTAACCAAGCTCAAAAGTCCGTTGAAAAATATATTTTGACTATAGAAAACACGGAGCTCTAAAACAACAGAGGTGGGATTATGCAGGTTCCATGAAAGAGTAGAATTTCCTTTCAACAGTCACACACACCGTGTGCTCCTTGACTTAAATCTTGTAAACTGAGAAATCCGTGGACAATTCAAAGACTGTGTACACATAATATGCCATATGGTCAAACCGTTCATATGCAACTTATCAGTCAACATCCAGCTTAACAATCGATTGTAGATTACTTGACATGTATCCCTTAGTTTCAGTTTGTTTAGTATTCCTTACTTTCAGTTTATTTCGTATATTCCTTACTTTCAGTTTGTTTTGTTTTCCTTACTTTCAGTTTATTTTGCATCCCCTACTTTCAGTTTGTTTTGAATTCCTTACTTTCAGTTTGTTTTGTATCTCTTACTTTCAGTTTATTTTGTGTCCCTTACTTTCAGTTTGTTTTCCTTCCTGTTGACAATGACGGCTGTGATCTGCTGATCTAAGAAAATCAAGATGGTGGACAATAAAGCGGGAATGGCGGCCGCCAGATACAACCACCAGGGGTTCTTGTCACTAAAAGGGTTAACTGTCCACTGAGAGCGGCGAGTAGGCTGCAAACAAAAACACGGCATTATTATATTATAATAATCTAATACAGTACGTTTACTGTAAACAATTGTTTATAATAAATTGACGCTTATAGCGAAGTGATTTTCATTCCCAGTGGGTTTTAAACATATAAAGTTATAACGGATATAAAGAATGAAAATCGCCCGTCCCTGGCACTTCGTTTTAAGCATGTTTTACTTTAAAGTACACAGTAATTATACTGTCCCACACCCCACCCCAACCCTGTTCTATTGAACATACGACCAAATAGGAGAAATTTTAATTAAACAAAATGCACTAGACTCGTTTATGAACTGACCTTGAATTCATCTGGGACGATGAGTTTTGGAGTGTTGATTCCCACAAAGAAATCAATAAGGACCATGATAACGATAGCGAAGAGGACACCGAAGTCGCTGATTCTTTGACGCACCTGTGTAAAATTATAAACCATAGATTTATAAATCATACAAATTCGTTACAGGTACAATACAGGTAAACGTAATCATTCATATCCAGTATACATTTATGTGGCAAAAAATTAATGTTATATACTATTATATGAAGATGTTTCGACCAATAGCTTCGAAATTTTAAAGATGGAACTTCAAGCAGCAACATAATATTTTTAAAACAGATTAATTTTTACGACTTACGGCAGAAGGAAAGAGGGTAGTTCGTTTGAAGTCAACAAAAGACAACGTCAGTGCAAAGGTTCCAATAAAGAGAAGGATGGAGAAGAAGAAAACATCTCCCACGTATTCCACGCCACATCCAGGACCTTCCATTTGACCACCATACATTGCGCATGTTTCGTTTGAAAGCGAGGCCCAATGAATTGTCATGTTAGCCAAGTCTGTGCATGTGTAGTTGACCAGGCTGGCAGCGGTGGTTACAACAGCTGTGGTATTTTCAGTGGTTCCCGTAACAGCCGCAGCTGTGGTGAGATCGGTAATATTGCAGTCACGTGGTATACATACACAGCTTGGGAGCGGATCATTGGGGTGAAAGTTCACAGGGTACTCAGACCCTATTTCAATCACTTTTTTAAACGCTTCCACGATGAAAATGACTGCGATTAATGTCGCAAAACTCTCTTCCGTGAACCGTGTTATATACTTGACGAGGGCGCTGAGATTAAAGGTGACGATTACCAGTATGATTCCAACTGTCCACATCCCCACCCAGAAACGCATCGGCATAAAGTCCCAGTCATTGTCCCTGAAATAGATAGTTATTTTTAACAATCTGATAATGATAGGATTTTGTATGATTTAGGAGATCTTTTCCTTGGAACTTTCAACACCATGCATGTAAATCAAAGTCTTCAATGTGAAGCAACTGGGAAAAAAATATACCAAAGAAAAAGTGTACGCGTGAGTTTCCAAAAAAATGAATATTTTAAAAAGGCTATCCAAGCAATTTTAGATGTATTATTCCAGTGCCTTATCTGAATTTTATTCAGTTCTTAGGGGATCGTAACAGCTACGCATTACCTCATAAAACCAAAAAGTAGAAATTTCAAGTATAGACCATTAGTAACAAACATTTATGATAAAGTATTCTTATTAGACCTAGGATGTGAACCTGAACACAATCATGCTAATGTGTCCTTACTTGCATAGATTGTAGATAATGGCTTCAAGAACCAACATAGGCCCAGTGCTTCCCAGGATGTTGAGAGGCTGTCCACCAAATAAAGCAAACAAGATTCCTGTTACTGCAGCAGCAAAAATACACTCCATCACGCCCTATTTAGACAAAAACATGGGTCTGCTAGAGAGGAATCGAATCTTCATGTACATGTACAAGGCATATACTAGTATATGTCGTATCCTACGTATGTTGAAAGTTACATACCATATACTGGTCGGTAGCCTGCCCCAACAATCCTCCAAATGTGACGTTAGGTGTAAGTGTTCCAAGAAAGACATAAACAAATGAGCCCAGGCACTGCACGTGAAGTGCGTCCTTAAAATCAGACAAATAAAATGGCACCTTCCTCTTAATATCGTCAACCAAGCCTTTAAAAGGTCTGAAACAAAAAACAATTTTATATTATTTATGATTTTGAGTCAAAAAGGTCTGAAAATAATGCAAAACAAAATACAATGTTATATTTACATGTATTATGATTTTGAGTCATATCAAATAAGAAGAAATAACATGAATTGATAACAAATGCTCTTTTAATGCGATAATTCGACCAATAATCAGATTCGACCTATAACATACATTTTTGACATCACTAAAGAGGGATCCACGTGAGACTCTTCTTCCGCTTCCTCTGCCTTCTTCACTGGAAGACCCGGGGCATTAGGACTCCCAGACACAACAGACTGGCGCCTGTGTTCCTGTTTTAATAAGTATATGAGAATGGCATTCTGAATCACCAGAATCTTCCTTTTCAAAAGAGGTCAATAAAGGAAAAATAGTTTGATAAACTGAATAAAATTCGATTCAATGTTTATCTTAGAGTACAGATTAAAGTTAAATACAAAATTTATGTACTTTCTTATATCCATATTTATCTGCTTCCTTTTTAAATATAGACATTTTAAAAAAAATCTAAGGAAATTTCACAATTGTCTTTGCAACTGTAGCAGACGACTTCAGTATGTATGTACCTGAGACTGGACTTTTCCTGGTGGTTCGAGGCGGATCTTTGGATCCCATTCACCAGGTGGCAGCACAATCACTTGTTCCATAAATTCATCAAATCCCGCCAAAAGATCGTCCCGATCACGTGCTTTATAAGCAACTTCACGGAAAATCTGCAAAACAAAAAGTACAGTGAAAGATTTACTGGGGTGCTTCTGAGCATGCGCACAAAATTGTTTATGAACACATGTAACATAACTACATTACAGACTTAAGTTGTCCAAAGATCGAAAGCCATACCTCATCTACTATCATGGTTCCTACACATCGACCAAACTCGATCAATTCCTCCTCCTCACCCCGTCTGCCCAGGCAGAAGAAAACGAAGCGCGTCGGAATATTGACCTCGCTGAGGTCATTCTGTAATATCCTCGGCTCCTTTAGGCGCATGAATCCCATGACCCGGGTAGGAAGATCTTCCACTTCTCCAACCATAATGTTGGCAACGTGGGAATCTTTGGGAATTTTTCTCAAAAAGTTGGTATTTGGCTATTAAAAGCAAACAAAATATTGTAAAAACACATGTATATTCATAATCTACATCTGATCTTTTTTCTCCTATTTATTTCTTACGTTTTCTGTAATTCAACAAATTTTAGTCAAAATCAAATAATATTTTTTTTTTTATTTTACTCTGAGTAATTTTACCTTCCAGTTCGGGGATAGCGAGGATTGGGAGGGACTCTCTACCATGCCCATTTCCTGGAGATCGTTGTTACTATTACTGCTACCTAAACCGTCACTGTTGATGCTGGCAAAGCTAGCGGAATACGGAAGATGCCCAGTACTGCCATTCACACCTAAGCCCAAAATTGACATTCATGTTTATAATTCTTTTTTTCAGAGTAAAGAAAAATATTTTTTTTTTGGGGGGGGGGGGGAGTCCGTGCAGAATAAAAACTGCAATTTTATTTTGCAAGTCATTAAAAAATCATCAGAGATATAATTTCAGTCGTCTTACAAGCATAAAAAATTATATATAAATTACATTTATAATAAACAAATATTTATTTGAAAGAAAGTGTTTCGGCAATTCTTTTGTGTTTGGTTCATTCTGAATTTAGGCATGTTTAATGGTAATGGTACCTGATTCATCCATAATGTCCGCTAGAGGGCGTGTAGTGGTAGAGCCTCGTCTTTGATTTCGCGCTCTTTTGATGTGATGGTGCTTGTGACCTTTAAGGGCAACATCCCGGATATGGGCCCTGAATCGTGGATCTAACTGGTTCCGGTCCACCCATTCGTCCGTGAACTTGTCTAATCAAGGACAGTAAAGGAGATCACTTTAATACAATTCTCATCAAATATAGTAAATGTCAAATGTAATACGTTAACTTTACTTTTAACCGCTTTGATTTTTGAAAAAAAAAAGATGATTAAAAATACGTCCTCTTTAACAACACCGTGTTTTTTTATGTTGTTTTTTCCGACACCATGAATGATGAAATTATATTTATTTATTTTAAAATATTTCTTAATACTCTAGTGTAATAGTATATTGCAGGAACAAAGCAATGGAATTTAATTGTGTAAGATTAAATTACTTCTTTAACATAGTGTTATATTACTATAAATAGTAAAAGATGCATCATTTTCTTTCAAAAATACACACGAGTCGTAATAATGAATTTGAGTCAAGTATGTGCTTTTAAACATTTATTTGATGTGATTAAAAGAAGTTATATCAAGATTTACAACATCAGTTTAAGAGATTTAGAAAAGTGGAAAATTAAGCACGATAAGGAGTTACTTTGAAGGACGGGTAAATTTTACTTTTAACTGCTCAGTTATGTTTGACAACTCATCACAAACGTCAGCATATATTGAAATCGCAGTGAGTGTAGATTGAAGTGTTTGGTAAATTTGTTTACTAGTAATTTGTCTAGACTTTTGAGAACATGCTATGGAGCATGCAAAGTACTTTGAAATATTGACAATAACAATTTTGTTCAAACTCTCAAAGCTTTATATCGCAGAAATGATAAAAATGAATGATATATATAAATTGCACCAATATATATATAAGTTTTTCTACAAAAAAATTAAAAGTATATTGATTAATTAAGGTGTAAGTCATACTGCCTACTCTTAAGTATTTCTTTGAAAAAATCTACGTTGAAAGAAAAGTATACCAGTATGTTGTTCTTTAACGTCGAAACAAGTGTTTGTAAGGGAGGGGTGACGCCGGGGGGGGGGGGGGGGGTAAGCACGTACCTATGACTTGAGACAAGGTATGACAGTCGTAGTCCATGATGACCGGGGCCTCCTTAAGGGCTTTTCTCAGATTAAACATCGTCTGCATCGATAAAGAGGCCACGTGGGGTTTGGACCATCTTTTCCCGCCTTCTTCCACCACTTCTTCGTATTTCACCCATCTACAAAAACAAGATTTTATAAGACTGCAAGACTAAGTTTTTTTAATTATGTACAAAAAGTATTCATAAGATTTTCACCCCAAGTGTTTACTTTATTAATTTTTTTTCATTACCATAGTTATCAAATTTGACAACTCTAAAAAGTATTGTAAAGAAAAAAATAATGGAAAAAGGGAGCGTGGATTGACGATTTTAATGAGATTGATATCAAAAGGATTTACAAACATGTAAACATGCAGCAGTCAGGCATTTGTTTTTTTTTATATTAATATTTAATTCGCTGACGGAATGACTTATTTTGTCATAAACTGATTCATAATGAAGGGGAGAGTGCCACTAGTAAGAAATTGAAAGTCTCCTGTTTGTTTTTATGCGCCCGAATTTTTTCGGGGCGCATATTGTTTTTGTCCTGTCTGTTTGTCTGTTTGTCTGTTTATCTGTTTGTCTGTTTGTCTGTCTGTCTGTTGTCAACTTTAACCTTCGCCAAAACTTTTAAACCGTAAGAGATAGAGACATCATATTTGGTATGCATACTCCTCTAATAAAGTCCTTTCAAATGACATCATGGTCAATGACCTTGTGACCTTGTCTGTGACCTATATGCTAAAAATAGCTTTTTACACTTTTGCCATAACTTTTGAACAATAAGAGATAGAGACTTCATATTTAGTATGCATACTCCACTAATAACGTCCTTTCAAATGACACCAAGGTCAATGACCTTGTGACCTTGTCTGTGACCTATATGCTAAAAATAGCTTTTTCCACTGTCTGTCATAACTTTTTAACCATAGGAGATAGGGACTTAATATTTGAGATGCATACTCCACTAATAAAGTCCTTTCAAAGGACGACAAGGTCAATGATCTTGTGACCTTGACTGTGACCTATATGCTAAAAATAGCTTTTTACACTTTTTGCCATAACTTTTGAACAATAAGAGATAGAGACTTCATATTTGGTATGCATACTCCACTAATAAAGTCCTTTCAAATGACACCAAGGTCAATGACCTTGTGACCTTGTCTGTGACCTGTATGCTAAAAATATCTTTTTCCACTGTCTGTCATAACTTTTTAACCATAGGAGATAGGGACTTCATATTTGATATGCATACTCCACTAATAAAGTCCTTTCAAAGGACGACAAGGTCAATGATCTTGACTGTGACCTATATGCTAAAAATAGCGTTTTACACTTTTTGCCATAACTTTTGAACCATAGGAGACAGGGACTTCATATTTGGGATGCGTACTCCACCGATTAAGTGCTTTCAAATGACACCATGGTCAATGACCTTGTGACCTTGACTGTGACCAATATGCTAAAAATAGATTTTTTGAACTTTGTTGCCGCCGGGCGCATAGTGTTTCACAAACACATCTTGTTTCGTATTTACAGTTATTAACTTTTGAATGCGTCACTCATGTTATTTTCTTCTTCGTTTGTTCGCATTGCTTATTTTGTTTTACTTATATTTTTGTTTAACATACAGTGTATCTTTGACCTTTCTTAATGATAAATATTCCTATTTAACAATGCATCTCACTGCTCTAATAAATGAAGACTAATTAATCAGGCACGTAGCATGGGGGGGGGGGGGGGGGCTTTTTTCTTTTTTCCCAAAATTACTTTCACTATTGAAAATGTTCATTGAAACGCTGGTCCCCCCCCCCCCCAGTTTTTACTGCAGTAAAGTGATATAAGGGAAATGTGGTATTGCATGCAAAAAAAATTGGTACTTAAAGAAGTTGGCATCTGAAAAAAGTTGGCCCTTCTGCCCGCCCGGGCAATGTCCTTTATTTGCTTGTCTACTTTTCCATGTAAGTAAAAAAAATTTCTCTGGCTGCCCCCCCCCCCCCAACTTTCAAAAACGATGCTACGTCACTGTAAATATCAATTGTGTTTTGAGGCACGCTTTGCTTCTTCGAGGAAGATTTTTTTTTAAAGTTTCTTTCATAACCATACATGCACATGCAACTTTTGCATAATGATCAAAGACCTAAGGCAGATATAACAGAAAAAAAAATATTTCGACCCAGCAAACAAATATATCTTTTAAAAAATAAAAAAAAATGAGTAAACAAATGAATAATAAATAAATAAATAAATAAAAATAAGAAATGAATGCCTTACCTGGCTGCCTCTCGCCACTCGATGGACCCGTTATACTCCTTAAGAACGTCCAACTCACTGAAGACACTGTGAGTCTTATGGCCCTCAGACTTCACGTTATTAATCAGATTCTGAACCCATTCTGACGGATTGTACTTCCCGCCTTCATCGCTGTGTACGCCTAAAAAAAAGTGAGGTAATGTAATGTATAGACGGTTTTAAAATCACGTAAGTTAACTAATTAAAATTTATATATTTTTCTTAACCTCCGAATCTTATCCGTTTCAACTCCATTGAATTTAAAATAGCTTGAAATCATTGAAAACCATCAGCAATATCATAATACATGTGCATGAAACAGCGCTTAATATATGAATAGCTGCTTTTTTTCTCTCCAAAATTAGGTCCAGTTTGACAACTCACTATTTAACAATAAATAGAAGAATTACGTACAGAGCTCTCGAATAAAAGGAACAGATGGTTTTATGTATAACCTTAGTCAAATAAACCAATTCAAATTTCTTTCATGTTTTCAATAACGATTCATATAAAGATCCGAAGTAGTATTTTTTTTTTCAAAAGAACAAAGCAAAACAGGACTTTGAAAAAAATAAGTGGAATGGTTGACAATTCTGGCAAAAATTTCTACCAGTTTTACGAAAAAATAAGCACATTTTGTTATGGTTGAAGGTATCCGTACGAAAGAGGGGGGAAATAGACAAAAAACGTTATAATTAATATCTTCACAATTTGTTACGCCATTTATTGTTTAAACTGACATGTTTAGGAAAAAATTACAAAGGAAGTATTATTGTTTTCTTTTTAAATCAAGGTTGCAAAGCAAACTGAAAATGCATGTTTTTCCTAGCTTGAAAAATAACAATGCAGCTTTAAAAATATACATTAAACCAAAATAAATATATAAATAAATAAATAAAAGACGGAAAATTAATAACCGAAGATGGTAAAATCGCGTGGACGCCCTGAACCCCCCATCTTCTGAATATAAATCCTAGACATTGTTCACATCTATTGTTTAGCAGTTGGGTCAAGCAAAATTTTCTTTTATATATACTTGGACCGAGTTTACAAATCGAGATGATTTATGAAATAGATTTAAGAGTTGGGGTTTCTTTTCATGCAAGAAAAGGGCAAACATTTTGATTTGATTTTCAGAATGTCATTTAAACATATCTTGAGTATGCATTGTAACTTCAAAAGGATAACTGCAGAGATTAAAAAGTTATATGTTACATTTGAAACCTCACTCACCATTTTCCACAACACGTGGTCTGTCCCTCCGGTGGGGCATGCGCACTCCAACAAACTGGCCATTGGCTAAAAAATGTATTTTAAAAATTTTTTAGTTTAAAATATATTTTATTCATATAAAGAAATGGATTGAACAGCAGGCATACGTTCTCTCCATAGGTCAAGGTACAATTACAAGTACATGTAAACATTGAAAAATGTATGAAGAGTAGATTATAAATTGGTACATATTTGGAATTTATTCAGAGAGAGAGAGAGAGAGAGAGAAATGATAAGAAAAAAATATAATGATAAGAAAAAAAATTTTTTAATAACATTTTGATGTTTTTTATTAATTGAAACATATTTTTTAACCCGTTTCATTTGAGCACTGCATGACAATTATGTTTTCCCCATCCCTCTAGTAAATCAAACTTCTAATTATAAAGAATAATAAATCTTTTGAAAACTCATATGCGACAAATGCCGCAGATATTCAAAATAGCCGTATATCCTATAAAACTTGATAAATGAAAAGAGTAAGACAGAAAAATAATAATAGTAACAAAAGACGAGGGAAAATAAAATACAATACCTGAATTATTTTTATCACCTTCGTCCATCGTGCCTTAAACAGAACAAAACAAAAGAAACTAAAAGACAACATCAAAACAAAATGCAAAACACAAATATAAGCTGATTAAAAAAACAGAGATGCAAGAAATGAAAATAAGAAATTAAATTATTAGAGTCATAAGCGTTAACATACCTAGTTTTGTTTTAGATAATTTTCTGGTGCACATGGCTATTGCCTTTTCAGATGCATGTATTTTGTGGTTTTGAAACATGTAAGCTATGATGTTACATTAAAACTAACAAGATGATATTTGTGTAAAAGATTGAAACGATTATTAGAGTCACTGCATAAATTATATGAAAGGTTAAGTAAAACTGCAGAAAAACAATCTAATTTCACAAATGTTCCTTTTCTTATAAAACTTGACAACATAGAGGGAAGGCCTTTAGCAATCGTACTATCAGATGGGCTGCGATACTAATCTAGGTGTATTGCCATAGTATTATCAAACAGAAGTTTATTTATGGTGGCTTTGGGCCTATGATGTTCTATCTGGCCTCTTGTGTCCTCACAACGACGTCAGTGTGGCCCCAGAACATGGAGATCGAAAATAGGACTGATTTTCATAATCGAGATCTCTTGAGTTTTTAATTCACTAACACATGTATATTTATACCTTAATAAAAGTTAATTCGGTGTAGTTTATTCTCTCAAAGCGAAAGATTAATGAAAATTGTGAGTATAGCGACGAAATGACAGCTAAACCAAATTATATATATATAAAGCAAGAAAAGACAGCACAATATCCATGCAAGTGCCGGTGTATGTCAGGGCCACCCCACTTTTATTTTTAGTTAACAATATATTCAATTGGAGCATGCAAAGGTGAGAAATATGTTTCAATAATCTTTTTTCTATATAAAGGTGAATTTTTTAGGTTCTGAAACCTGTTATTTCTGAAACCTAATAATTTCAGGAATTGAACTAAAAAAAATCATATTTTGTCTATTTTCCCCTTTGTGCGTCACGGGTTGTCGATTTAATATATTTCTCGGTAACTTGACCAATAGGTCTATAATAAAGGCAAAATCTAGAGGGTGCAAATCAATTGTCTTTTAAAGCTATTAATGTTTGGTCAGCAGACGTAAAAGCGAAGAATGTACTAGTACATGTATACCTAATGAAAGCAAAAGGTGTTTAATTGTTTAATACAGACAGCTATTTTTAATGTGAAGAAATAACATAAGTCAATAATTATACGACCCAGCCTGATAAGCATTTCTATTTCTATAGACCCAGACATCCTTTTGTTTTCCTTAAATGTGTCGGGAACGGCATTTCACAAATTTTAAATAAAGGAAGTGTGTTCTAAAGGTAAAATCTTTTCTAGACATCTGTGACGTAATATAAATGTTGATTCGGAGCATTATCTGACTGTTGACAACATTAAATTGAATTGAATACATTTTTATCTACTTCTAACGGGTTAATGAACAATTTAGTTGCATTATCGGGTCACTCCTACTGACCCCGAGGCCCTTGGCTTCGCTTCAGTGAATAAAGAATATTGACTCCCGATAGAAGTTTACGGATGACAGAATTCGCCCAAAAAAGTGTGGAAAGTGGACATATTAATTTAATAAAGGTATTCTAATTTGATTATTAATTATTAAGGGCCGGTTCATTTAACAACTAAGGTAAAAAGTTGTTATAATAACATTACTAAATATCGTGTGTTTAGATAAATTTAAAACACAAGAGCATAAGAAGCTTTTTTGGATAATGTATAGGAATGAAATTAATGAACACTTTATGTGTGCGTTTTAGAGCCCCTCCCCTAAATATAAGTCTTTAAAACGAAAAATAAGTACAAATTCTCCGTAAAATATGTCCTGAAATTCTCACAACTGACGATCAAAACACTAGAGTAAATTCGTACGTCGATGGTTCTTTAAGGTGGTAGACACTATTATAATATCTGTAGAGTAGGGGGAGAATTAATTATTCTCCACTATGTATAGGTAACAACAGGTATAATACAAAAGTAGGCGTTACCCGACATTTTTTTCGGTATCATGAAAGACAGCCACCGTTAAGGTTTTAAAGTCCACGTGTTAAAATTATGACAATAGTTTACTGATTTGAGGTCGTCTAGACTTTCATTGCGCCATATTTAAATACATGCATCAATATTGTCTGATTATACTCACCTTAAAAAGGGGAGACAACCATGTCAAAATCAGACGCATACAGAATAAACACGGCTGTATCATCAATGATATAATATTAAAATGGAAATGATTAAAGGGACGTTCTTCTTTTCCTATATCTGTTCTTTTAGAATCAATGTTATGATAAAAGTTTATTGAACTGTACCATGAGAAATTCCATAGAGCATCACAGTTAAAGTTAAGAAAGCAGTTAACACCATGCTCTCACAAAATAACAAGACAACAAAAAATACACAAATTCATGCAAGTACGATGCTCCAAATAAAATAAATCAACAGAGAATGACAACAAACGTCAAATATAAATTTATAAAACATACAAAAACATGCATATAAAAATTCATTTTTTAATATATCTTTTGTTGCGATATTTTGTTCGCATTAATATCTAGAAAAAACTAATATTTAGCGAGATCTTTTATATAGTATCACATAAACACGTGTTTCTACTGTCATTCACACATTTGAAGTCACCGAGGAAATTGTGAACACTATATAACTAAGAGGAGATTAAACTTTATCTGTTGTTTTGAATTTGAAACTTAAACCATAGATTTTGTGAAAATTGCATGTTATATTATTAATTTTGATAGAATTTAAAAAAAATGTCTATAATGAGGTAAAACGATTTACCAAAAAAAATAGATTTGATGAAAGGAAAATGATTTAAACGTCCTTTTTAAAGGTGCGTTTGTATCACACTCAAAATCGATACTGATTGATTAAAAATAAATCGTATCCCAATTTGAAATATTCTGAATTCTTAAGTGATTCTTCAGTGTCATTAAGCATTTTCAAAATTTGAAAAAAAAATGAAAAATTGCATGGAATTAAAATAAATGAATAAATAAAATAACGCATTCCATCATTTTTTCTAATCCTATATCTAATGCATCTACATGTAAGGGGCATGATTCTAAAACTCTATGTAAGTGGTACTTAAAAAAACTTTAGAGAAGAAAAATAATTAATAGAAAATCAACATATTTAAAATCGTTCCTTACCTAATATTTAAAAATATTAGTATTATAATATTGATTTCCTAAAACAGTTGAAATAATTTTAGAAAAAGGTCAACTCACTTTTTCCGTTCACTTTAACAGAAATACTCATTCCCTGGACAGGCCAGTCAACTTCTTCTAACTTCCCCTCCCCTCCGGAAAAGAAGAGACCAGACCAGCGTCACTCTAAAGTTTATATATCGCGCGAAAACGTCACACTCCACTGACTGTCCCACTTTCGGTCCAGCTTTGGTCACGGTCTCTTGACCTCGGGTACTCTCGTTTTTATCTCGTTGATCTGCGTTGTCTTGATGTTTTTCTTAATGGAAATAATGCGGGTAGTCCCTGGTACCTGTATATTAGTTCGGGATCAGCACTATAATCTAAACAGAGGCGTTTGTCATGGAGAATTGACTAATGTTTGGACAGGACATCGATCTATTTAGGGATTGAATTTCTTATGTCTCTATCCCGACTTTGAGATTTCAAACGTCTGGAAAGGTGGCAAAAAGCCCCATGCTTAATGCTTTATTTATATATTCCAAAGACTCCCGTAAAAAAACGTTCATTTGACAAAGTAAATTAATATAATTAAATATATTACAACAGACAATTTAAGGAAATATATCTGGCGAACAATCACAACGGTATTTGTTAAAAAGGTATTGAAGCAGCTTAATACCATAACACCGGTTTATACCACAACGGTTCAAATGAACAGTGCAGATATTGATTAAATTGTTGCGTAAAGAAATTATTCTAACATCACAGGAAATTCATTTCATACTTTATATATTTCCCCAATTGTCTGATATTGTTAAATAAATAAATAAAAAAGAAACACCTAGGTGTGTACATATTTATGTACCTCAATTTACAAACCATTGAACAATCGCAAAAAAAACTTGATAGTTGCCCCTATGAGGCCGGTTCTTCCAATGAGGTAGAGTAATGCAAAGTTTGGGTACACGAAAAGTTCGGACTAATTTATGAAAAATCAAGAATATTTTAACGAATGAATGTACAGTGTGTGAAACTTGGTTAATTTATTGTAAAGCCTAAGATCTAGGAAATTTGTAGCTGAAACATATAAATTAATTTATATCATCAAAATTCAATTGCCATAAACCACTAAGTTCTCTTATACAGAAGACTACAGCAGGACAACATTAATCGAAATATTAAGCATTGTTATATAGTAAAAGTCTACTTTCTTCTAAAAACAAATACATAATAATCATTGGGGACAATGGAAGCAGACGGATTCCGTGTTTTATTTACATTGCGTATTTAAAAAAAGAAAAAAAACACAAGTCCTTAGATGGCATTATTCACAGCCTTTCTGATTAGCTCGTGTTTCGGGTACACTCGACTGATTAAGCCTTCTTGATATAGGTATACAGTTTATTTATAAGGAATAATTTACTGTCTTATTTTTTGATTTCATGATGTGATCAATCGATTGGCTTGCGTGATAATTTGATCTTGATTCTGACAATCCACGTGCTACAAGCCCTGCTTCTGTCGAGCTATTTATCCCGTCCTGAAGTGTTTTTTTTTTTTAACCGCGCCTATTGATGAACCAGTGCACTCATGTAGAAATAAAGTACATTATAATTTGTAACTTTATCTCGGACAAAGACATTGGAAATGTAAATATATATATAATTAGTAGGTTTTTTTCCTTTAAGATATATTGTCATGAACAGGATAGTCCACTAACAAATTACCTGGATCAAATAATATAAAGTCTACATATAAAATCTATACAATTTTTATAAAATATATAAAGTATCGTATTTTATATGCCAAAGACCTGTTGGACGTGTTGGTACTTTATGGCAGCAATAACTTTACGAAAATGCAATCATTTTAAGAATTTTTTA